GTTCCTGTTCGGCAAGATCAGAAGGAACAAGAAGAGGCTTACAGAGCTCAACCATGAAGTGCTCGGGGGTTTGTCGGTGCAGGACCCATAGGATACCCCGCAAGGAAGGGAGAAGATCTAGTCTAATTAGGTTTCTTCCCATGTAATCTTAGTAGTAGTATTATTCTGTAATCCTACTAGAAACTCACATTGTAAACCGACTAGGACTCTGGCCTCCTGACTATATAAAGGAGGGCAGGGTTCCTAGAGAAAGGACTTGACGACGACACAACACAACACTTCACAATCAATCCAACGCAAAGGCTAACGCCGACTGGACGTAGGACTATTACTCGATCCACGATCGAGGGTCCGAACCAGGATAAATCGACTGTCTCTTGCGTTAACCGTCGAGTTCCGCATACGCTGAAGCCTGAACATACTGCCCTGGGTACCCCCGTGGCAGGCTATCGGTGGTCAAACATCGACATTGTCATCATCTTTATTTTCACTATTGTAGGGGCATTGAGCAATAAGGTGATCCTTGCTACCACACTTGAAACACCTCCTTTTGTCATCCTTGTTCTTGGATGATAACTTCTTCCTTCTTGCATGATAGCCCTTCTTCAACATAAATTTGCCAAATTTCTTCACAAAGAGAGCCATCTTCTCATCATCATCTTCATCAAAGCTTGAGCACTCATCTTCACTTGATGTTTCTTGCTTTGCCTTGCCCTTGCAGGATGATGTGGCTTTGAATGCCACACTCTTCTTCTTCTCATCCTTCTTGTCATCTTTCTTCTTGTTGTTCTTCTCCTCTTTCTCATCATCATCTCTATAAGTGTCATCGGTCATCACATCTCCCAATACTTGATTTTGGTGTCATAGTGTCCAAACCACTCCTCACTAGTATGGTGACCAATGTGCTAAATCTTGATGGTAAGCATCTCAAGAACTTGTGGGAGAAGTCCTTGTCCTTCACCTCTTCACCAAGTGCTTTGAGATCATTGACAAGCATTTGTAGCCTATGGAACATCTCCAGCACACTCTCATCATCCTTCATCTTGAAGCTAGCATACTTCTCCTTGAGTATGTATGCCTTTGCACCCTTCACCGCTTGAGTGCCCTTAAATGATTCCTCCAACTTCTTCCATGCCTCATGAGTCATCTCAATATTCTTGATTTGCTCAAAAGTTCTCTCATCCACGGCATCATGAATGGCACTAAGAGCAATGTCATTGTTTTGGAGCAATACTTCTTCTGTCATGGTGGGATTCTCCGGATTGGCAACCTCAATCTTCGTCTCCACCACCTTTCACATCTTTTTATTGATTGACTTGATATAAGTGATCATCTTTGCCTTCCAATATGGATAATTTATGCCATCAAATTGGGGTAACTTCTTGGTGTTATTGATTTGAGCCATTTTGACACCGAAGGTTGTTAAGCCTCAAATGAACGGTGACCACGGCTCCGATACCACTTGAAAGGTCCTAAATGGCTAGAGAGGGGTGAATAGCCTATAAAAATTTCTACAAAGACACTAGAGTAACTTGTTAGACAACTAAATGGCAAAATGCACATTTCTCTAGTTCTACTCAAAAGGCAAGCCACCTACCAACAATTCTAGTCAATTATGATCACTAAGCACTCAAATGATATGTCGCTACTCTCTACACCAGTTGAGCTAGCGAGGAACTAATTACAACTAAGAAGCTAAGATACACAACTAGCTACAACTACCACAAGCTCTATACAAGATAAATACACAACATAATACAAGAGAGTGGTAGATGAGATATACCGCCATGGCAAGTGATCAATTAATGAATACCAAAGAATACCAAGGAGACAATGATGACACAATGATTTTTCCTCCGAAGTTCACTTGCTTGCCGGCAAGCTAATCCCTGTTGTGGTGATTCACTCACTTATAGGTTCACGCGCTAATAGACATCACACGCCTAACCCGCAACCGGGTGCCACACAATCAATACAAGATGACGATCCACAAGTCACACGCAATCCACTAGAGTTGCCTTTGGCGCTCCGCCAGGGAAGGCACAAGAACCCCTCACAATCACCACGATCGGAGCCGGAGACAATCATCGGGCCGTCTAGGTGTCGGCAAACACCAAGAGTAACAAGATCTCCACCAGCCCAAATCGCCCAACTAGTGCCACAAGATGCAAGATCACTAAGCAATGCACTAGATGCTCTCCAATCTCACCCAAATGATGAAATCAAGTGTGCAAATGAGTGGATTGTGTTTGCTCAGCTCCCAAAGGGTGTACTCAAGTGTGGAAAGTGCCAAGAGATTGGCCAAGGCCGGCCACCACATCTGTTTATAAGCCCACCAACAAATAAAGTCGTTACCCCTTCAGAGCAGCTTCTACGGGGGCATCGGACACGGCGGTGTGCCATTGGACAGGGGGTGACGGTGCCCCTCCAACCGTCATCCACTAGCCGTTGGGACATCGAACAAGGTGGCGGTGGCGGTCACCACCTAGGACAACCCCCCCCCCCGAAAACCCTGCTCTTTGGATAATTAGGGCGGTGCACCGCCAGGGGGTGGAGGTGACCAGGGCGGTGCCCCCTCGACCCTAAGTCCAAAAACGCCATCCTCTAGAATAAAGGGGCGGTGGCACCGGACGCACCCCCGCGGTGCACCGCCATGCACCTTGCGGTGTACACTGTCATTGATGGTGCCAGCCCCCAACTCCTCCTCCTCGGCCAAGGCCAAACGATCATTGCCCTAGGGCAGGCGGTGCACCAAATAGGGTGGTGACGGTGCCCCTAGAGGTAGCATCTCATCCCCTTCTTCGCCTCCTTTGATTCCTTTGCAAATGTGCCAACACCTCAAGTGTTTCATCATCACGTGCAAGTGTGTTAGCATTTTTACAATCATTTCCTAAAGGTTAATCACTTCTCACCGATTGTGCACTAGGCCTAAAATGCAATGCATGTATTTCAACACCTAGTGGCACTAGATGATCGAGTTGTCTGATAAGAGCTCCCCTCTTAATAGTACGACCATCTATCCTAAATGTGATCACACTCTCTATAGTGTCTTGACCACTAAAACAAAATGGCCCTATCAAATATACCTTTGCCTTGAGCCCATTTTATTTTTCTCTTTTTTCTTTTCCAATTCTAGAGCTTGATCACCATCACATGTCCAATCACCATCACCTTGGACTTCAATTGCTCCATCACTTGGCTTGAACCAACCTATCTCAATTCCACACTTAAAGCATAGGTTAGTACTTAGGGTTTCATCAATTCACCAAAACTAAACTATAGCTTTCTGTCTCTTCCTTTTTGGTAATTGATGACAACCCTTTCATAAATATATGAATTAAAATTTATTTGAATCCATGTTGTTTGTCCAAGCATTTTTACCATGTGTAAAGGATTTTGACAAGTTTCATGAACCCGAATTGGTAGCATTAGCTCCCCCTACGTATGTGCTAAGAGTTTGGATAGAAGCTTGCAGATATACATAGATAGAAAATGTGGGAGGACAATGTCTACTAAATGATGTAAGTATAAGAGATGGACCTTTAAAGTGTGATACCTATCGGAGTGCACTAATAATACCATCCTTAGCAGCATTGTTAGTTAGATATCACTTGCAAAGATAAAGAACTAGATAACCCGTGAGATCAACATTATAAGCAAGATTCTAGTACCACCTGTGAACACAAATACACGTCATATCTAACTTTCATTCTATATATGCTAATTTTTCATTTCATCAATCAAACTTACAACTAGTTTTTCATTATAAGCAAGGTTCTAATACCACTTATGAACAATAGCTAAAGGGAGTACTTTTACCTTATTAATCTCTTGCGGTGCTCTTAATTAAGCGAGCTACAGCACCACCGGGTGGTTTTGCGTGCTGCCGGAAGTTGGAAGCACAATGCAAGGCTCTAGTCTACCTAGAGTGGACGTACGTATCACACGAATGACGATCTGACTCATGTTAATCAATACAATGATGATTTATGATTACTAGTTTTTTTTGAAAGTAAACTATGGAGGGGAGAGATTCCCCTCCTGGATTGCATTAACCAAAACAGAGTTTCAGGTATGATTACTAGTAGTACTGCTATTTCAGTATTAGTATGGTGGCATGGGCACATGACCAGGCAAGGTGGTTTGGAGATGATCATCGCTACCAGGTGTTTATTTCCGCGAGACTAGCTCGCGGCGTGCACGGACCGCCCATCGAATTGAATATCACAGCACAGGTGTTTACTTCGTACTGCCATCCGCAAAAGTTTCGAGAAAAGGACAGTGATACTACCGCCCAGTAGGCCAGTAATCAAATCTACTTACTCGATCTTGCGTGGTTCATTGTTACTTATACGTGGATTGATGGATGCCTGAATCTATATATATGGTGGAAATAAAGACTTGCTCTGGTTGCAAGTTCATGGCTGCCGCATTCATCATGGCTCCTGATTGACTTAAACGCTCCGTGTCCATGGATTAGTTGTAACTAAGGCATCAGAACCGTGTACATTTCGGACGTCCAACTCGGAATTAAACCTTGTGACATGGCCGGTTTTTTTTTTTTTTAGGAGTTGTGACATGGCCGTTACTGGTGGTGTCTACGGATCGACATATCCGATTTCTTTCTCCAACCAGAATCTTTATTGACTGCTAGCTAGCTGTAATCTAACTAACGACATGACACTGTAACCGAACATTTCTACCACCACGACAAGCGGCCAGGGCTTATTAGTAGGACCCAACATTTCTACCACCACGGCAAGCGGCCAAGGCTTATTAGTAGGAGCAATGGTGGTAGAAATGTTCGGTTATAGTGTCATGTCGTTAGTTAGATTGTTCTCACAGAGAAGTTCATAAAAGTAGGGTATGATTGGTTTTTCTGACACTGATGCATCGGATGCATTGCATCCTGATGTGTGTCGATGTCAAACCTTAAGTGATCCATCCTAATACCTGTGCAGTGATCCATCCTGAGCGCGGTGAGCACGTCGCTGATCGCCATGTGGTACGTCGTCTCGCGAGACTGAAACTCTGAAACCGGATCATCACAAGATAGAATAATTGATTGATATTACTCTGTGTCTCCCCACGTAACAAACTGATCGGTGGATAATTGTGTGCAGCACTAGCACGGAGGCCATCGCCTTCATGATCACGTACGGGTTCAGTGCCGCTGTGAGGTACTCCTCCTAAATAAGCACTTCCATGCTGCTTATGCAGCATTCGTGCGCTTGCCTGTCAGAGCCTCAATTCGTGTGTTGCCTTGGGCTTATATATGGTGACCGGCACCGGCCGTGTCGATGTGTCCCGTGCATTGCACGCAGCACCCGGGTGTCAAATGAGGTCGGGGACGGGAACGTGGACAAGGCCAAGAACGCCGTATCGGTGACCCTGAAGCTGTCGGTGCTCGTCGGCGTCTCCTTCGTCCTGCTGCTGGAGTTCAGCAACGGCCTCTGGGCGAAGCTCGGTGGGAGCACGGTGGTGGTGTCGGAGTTCACTGCCATCACACGCCACTCGTGATCGTCTCCATCGTGCTCGACTCTGCACCAGGGTGTCCTGTCAGGTGAGAGAGCCCAGAGACCTACCGGCCGGCGACCACATCGCCGAACGATTAGATATATTCACAGACATGTACAACGGCATGCACAAGTGACTGGCTGATGATTGGGGATGCCTTGAAATGACTGATGATAACGGGCAGGCGTGTCGAGGGGCTGCGGATAAGCATCTCGCGGCGATGACCAACCTGGTGGCTTACTAGTTGGTGGCCATGCCGCTGGCCATTCTCTTCGTCTTCAAGCTCTAGTTATATACCAAGGTACGTAAGCATTCACCGTCAGTAAATGTGCAACAGTCAATATGACTTTGATTATATGCTCTATGATGACTTCTTTGCAGGGGTTATGGCCGGGCATGATCTGCAGTCTGGCATGCCAGGCCTGCTCGCTGCTGGTGATCACTGTCCGCACCAAGTGGTCAAGGATCGTGGAGTCCATGCAGGAGGAGAAGGCCAACTACATCGCTTAGCCTTAGTATACGTGAAAAAAATGCTGCTGAGACGTGGAACGGCATCACAAACCGGACCGGCTGCGATTCCACTTCCATATCTTTCTATCTATCTATCTTTCTTTCCTTTTTTTGAGAAGGATTCCATATGTTTCTTGTGCTTGTGCACGAGCACGAGCACGACAAGACAGTGAAGGAACGACAAGCAGCGAGAGCAGATTAGCCTAGGCTGGGCTAGGCCCAAATAACGCGTGGACTTTGTGGCCCAGTTCGGTCGTCCATTTCGAGGATTGATGCACGGTTCCGATTTTACTTCAGGAAGGCCTTTTACTTTATTTTTCGCTCATTTTCCGAGTCAGGTTGTACGACAACAATGCCTCGAATATCATCGTACTTTCAGGCTTGTTTGATACAATTATTATTAGCTAGCTAACCTAGCTAAAAACTAGTTCTAACTCATCCAAAGAGAATGTTAAGAGTATCTTCAAGAGTTTTTTTTTTCCTAAAATTTACTCTATGAATCATCATTTAGAGAGTCGTTTGAGTAAAAATCGTTTTCTATATTTTTGTACCACCCACAACTTTTCTATACCATATGTGTATTCTAGGGAGTTATTCCCGTTCTCTATCTTTGGTTGGCTCTAGAATAGAGAATGTTTGTATTTAGAGATCCAATTTAAAGAGAATGTTAAAGGATATTTTTTTCACTAAAATCACTATTCCTATAAATTATAAAGGATATAAAGAGTCTCTTGGAGTTGCTCTAAGAGTATCTCAAGGAATATTTCTTAAACTCGCACTCTAATAGGGTTTTTAGTTTGAGGATTCATTCATTCTAGATGAGGTAATATGTCATAAGTTCATTCTTTAAATTTGGTGGAATGACTTCATTCCTCGTACTGGTACCAGTTATTAGCTGGTGAGGAATGAGGCGAATGATGCATAAACATATTTCATTTCACAAACCAACTTAAAAAAGTGAGGAATGAGGAGATGATGGACTAACTTATTCGTTAAACCAAACACATCATAGATCATCATTTAGAGAGTCATTTAAATAAAAACCGACGTCTTTTCTATATCTTATGCACACTCTATAGAACTAATCCCACTCTCCATCTTTAGCTAGGGAGAAATTCAAAATAGAGAAGGACAATATTTAAATATCCAATTAAAAAAATTATTGAAGAGTATTTTTCCAACAAAATCCCTATTTCTATCAATAAAAAAATAATATAAAGACGCTTATGGAGTTACACTAATAGGTTGGGTAACTTTTTAGTCAAGTCTTCAACTTATTGGCCAACTAGCTAACCAATCACATCTAATTTACACTGTTTTTTAGCCCTAACTGGTAAGTAGCCCTAATTGATTTAAACAAACCCTTTGTCGATTCTAAAGGTAACATGATGTTCATTTTTTTGGCACAGAAGGTCAGCGAGAGGGGGATGCAAAGAAAAAAAAAGATGGGGCTTGTTTGGATGCTTCCAACGTCTAAACGTACCGAGAACTCGATTGCTATATGTATTGATGATTGATGTTGCAATATACCGGTAACTAATTCAAGTCGCAAAAAAAAAAAACCCCCGGTAACTAATTCGAATCTTTTTTTTTTGAAAAAAAAACCTAGAAAAACTACACATTCGCCACCACGCCCTCACGAAGTCCTCCGCCCCTCCCCCGGGGCCCTGCTGGCCCCCTCCTAGCCTACCGGTCCCCGATCCAATCTGCGCCGTCCGTTCTCCCGCCGCGACCTTCGTCTTGTCCTCAAGGCCGTCGGCGGCCACCGCCCGCGTACACCATGAAACCACCGCGGCTCCTTCCCCTCCTCCGCCGCCACCTCTCATCCGCCGCTGACGCCGCGGAGCTTGCCAGCGCTCTCTCCGTGGTGCCCTCCCCCGATGCGAAGCGCGACCTTGCCATCCTGCTCCGCCGCCTTGGCGGCTGCGGCCTCGCCTCCGCCCTCTCGTCCCTTCCGGCCCCGCTTCCCGTCTCCTCCGCCCTGCGCCTCCTCCAGCATATTCTCTCCGACGCCCACGCGTCCGCCTCCCGCCACGCCGAGGATCTCCTGTCTCCTCGCGTCTCTGCGCTCCTCCTCCCATCGCTCGTCGCCGATCGCGCCTCGCTACCGTCCGCGCGCCGCCTCGTCTCACGCCTCCTCTCGTTCAACCCTCTCTCCGTCGCCGCAGCGGCGATCGCGGACTCCGACTGCACTGCCTCAGCGGACCTTCTCGTCCGCGCCTGCCTCAACTCGCCTGCCCCCGGATCCCTGTCCCGTGCCGCCGATGCCTTTCTCGAGCTTTCCACACGTGGTGCATCGCCGTCCATCAAGACATGCAATATCCTTGTCGAAGCCCTAGGTTGTGGTGGCCAACTGGACGTGGCCCGCAAGGTGTTTGGAGAAATGCGGGATGGCAAGACTGTTGCTCCTGATGTGCACACATACACGGTGATGATTAAGGCACTCTGCAGGGCTGGAGAGATTGATGCTGCTTTTGCGATGCTTGCGGAGTTGCGGCGGTCTGGGATCCAGCCGACGGTTGTCACTTACAACGTGCTAATGGATGCTCTGTGCAAGAGTGGGAGGGTGGAGGAGGCCTTTCGGTTGAAGGGAGAATGGTTGAAGGCAGGGTGAGACCAAGCATTGTCACGTTTGGCATCCTGATCAATGGTCTTGCAAGAGGCCAACGGTTTGGGGAGGTTGGTGCAGTGTTACAGGAGATGGAGGGTTTTGGGATCACCCCTAATGAGGTTATTTACAATGAGATGATTGGTTGGCATTGTAGGAAAGGGCATTGCTCAGAGGTGCTTAAGCTGTTTGATGAAATGGCCTCAAAGGGGATAAAGCAGACAGTGGTGACTTACAACTTGATTGCGAAGGCTCTGTGCAAAGAAGGAGAAATGGAACGTGCTGAGCAGATATTGGATGAGATGTTGTTGGCTGGGATGATGGTTCATTGCAGCTTGTTTAATAGTGTGGTTGCATGGCATCTTCGAGGAACTGGAAGACTGGATTTGGCGCTAAGGCTTATAAGAGAAATGCTTGCCAGATTTCTGAAACCAAATGATGCTCTGATGACAGCTTGTATCCAGGAGCTTTGCAAAAGAGGGAACACGAAGAAGCAGCTGAAATTTGGTTCCAAGTATTGGGTAAAGGTTTAGGTGTCAATATTGCAACATCCAATGCGTTGATTCATGGGCTTTGTCAAGGTAACAACATGACAGAAGCTACTAAGGTTCTAAAGGCTATGGTGAATAGCGGGGTTGAATTGGATAGAATCACATATAATATAATGATTCAAGGCTGCTTCAAAGCCAGTAAAATTGAGGAAGCAATACAACTTCGTGATGATATGATCAAAAGAGGGTTTAAGCCTGACCTTTTCACTTTTAATACTTTCCTACACGCTTACTGTAATTTGGGTAAGGTGGAAGAGATCCTTCACCTGCTGGATCAGATGAAAAGTGAGGGCCTTAAGCCAGATATTGTGACATATGGCACTATAATAGACGGTTACTGCAAAGCAAAGGATATGCATAAGGCGAATGAATGTTTGACTGAATTGATGAAAAATGGGTTAAGACCGAATGCTGTCATCTATAATGCTCTTATTGGTGGTTATGGTAGAAATGGTAACATTTCTGATGCAATTGGTGTTCTTGACACTATGAAGGATAATGGCATACAACCAACACCTATAACTTACAGTAGCCTTATGTATTGGATGTGTCATGCTGGTCTTGTTGAAGAGGCCAAGGCAGTTTTTGCGCAATGTATAGTAAAGAACATTGAGCTTGGAGTAATTGCCTACACAATTATAATTCAAGGTTTGTGCAAAATAGGAAAAATTGATGAAGCTGTGATGTACTTCAAGGAAATGCATTCCAGGGATATACCTCCAAATAGGATGACCTACACCACTCTGATGTTTGCCTATTGCAAATCTGGCAACAACGAAGAAGCTTCCAAGCTTTTTGACGAGATGGTGAGCATAGGCATTGTTCCTGATAGTGTTTCCTACAATACACTAATTTCAGGGTTTTGTGAGGTGGATTCATTGGATAAGATGGTAGAAAGTCCTGCTGAAATGTCCTCACGAGTTTTGAAACAAGATGGCTGTTTGTACAATGCTTTTGTTAATGGAATAACTACACCCTGGTGCCAGAAAGAGGCTGTGTCTAGTGCTGAATGATGTGTAACCAAGGTACCATCGGACATGACTTCTTTTTGTGACAGTTATTGTCAAGCATGAATAGGAAGAACTCAGGAGAGTATACGGGCTTCCGCCTTGCCTTTGGTGGCTTATGCATCTAGCAAACATGTATTCTACTCTGCCTTGTTTGCCTTTCTTGCTAGCCATATATTCTACGCTGCCTTTTCTGCTCATATGCTCTACTGGCGCATCAGCTTTCGGTTAGCACTATGGACTGAGAATAAGAACCTTAATGTGCACCCTTTAGTTCCCTTGCATTCTGACATGGTAATGCCATGTTCTGCACACTGATTTTTTTATTGGTAGAAGTTGATAAGTTAATCTTCCTAATGTTGGTTTACTGCTAGAATATGTTTGCTCGCAGTACTGAGTTGTTAATGCAAGCTGACTGATTTACTCTGTGTATTTTACTTCTATACAAAATATGTGCCTAATTATTCTCATGGCATGCAAAGAAATTATACTGATTCTGGCGGTAGTATATCTATATTGTATGCTCCTTTGTAAAACGAACACTATAATTAATGTCTCACGGTAGTATATATATTGTATGCAGGATGATGTAAGAAAGGAGACTCAAACTTTGAGCTTGATAGATCACCCTAATGTCATCAGGTCTTACTGCTCATTTGTTGTGGGTCATAATCTTTGGTGGTAATGCCATTTCATGGCAGAAGGTTCACGTTTGCACCTAATGAAGGCTGCATATCCGATGGTTTTGAAGAGCCAGTTATTGCCTCTATTCTAAAGGAAACACTCAAAGCAGAGACTACCTCCATAGGCAAGGGCATATTCATCGTGATGTGAAGGTTAGCTCTGTAGGATTTGTTTGAGATTAGTTTTGGCAGTGCTTTTTCTCAACATATCATTGTTGCAGGCAGGTAATATCCTTATTGTAATCCCGGTGTAGTCAAGCTTGGGGACTTTGGTGTCTCTGCTTGCATGTTTGATAGGGGTGATAGGCAAAGGGCTAGGAATACATTTGTTGGAACACCGTGCTGGTAACTATGTTTCTTTTCTATAAATTTCTTCTGCTAGTGGTTCAATAGAAATTAATTAGTTTATGCATAATTTGACATGTTTTACTTGGTGTTTAGGATGGCTCCAGAAGTTCTGCAGCCTGGAACTGGATATAATTTCAAGTATGTGGTGAATATCAATACCTATCTTATATTTTTTACACGCACATGCTTAGTTCTGTGTCACAATTTGCATTGCTTAATAAACCTGAGATCGAGCAAATACTATGTTGGAATTTAGTTTTACTTGTTGTATTTAAATATGAGTGCAGCACATCATCAAGTTGGAACTCTTCCCAGAAACTAGGTGGTGACCAGGTTCTGGTTGGTTTCCAGTTTGAGGTTTCTGGGAAAACTTCCCTATTATCGTTTTTCACTTATAATACTGCTTAAGTTTTACTGATCTAATGATCATGTTTGTTCAACGCTTGCAGCTTTTTTATGTGTACTTTTACTTTTCTTAGTTGCTATTGTTAACGACATCTTCTAACAACTATCAACTCTTTGTACAGAGCTGATATATGGTCATTTGGAATAACTGCACTCGAGCTGGCACATGGACATGCTCCCTTTTCGATGTACCCTCCTATATGAAGGTAATGGGTCATTTGCTCTTTGCAAATTAAGATTTTAAATCTTTTTTCCTTCTTGCTCTTATGGAATATAGCAATGTAATAATAGTTCCCATGGAGCGTGAACGCTTGATGATTGATTGCATCAGTTTTATTTTAATTTGAAATTTCATGAAGTGGCTTATTTTGAAAGTTAGAGTGCAAGCATATGTGGTCTTAATCATTTTGCCATCCAATCTTAGTATTACTAATTAGATACTCTTTTTGTAGCCTCCACATTAATCCTCACATGACACGATAGCGAAAGAGAGAAATCTTAGAAATTCTCCCATGGGCACACATTCTTTCGTGAAGTCTTATTTAGACTTGCTGATTGCCACCAGCTTGCAGAACTATTATAGGCGTCAGATAGTCTTATCCATGAAGTTAGCTATCCAACTTTACAAACTTTCTGGCTCTAACTATTTCCATAGAGTTCACCTAATCACGTGTGTGAATTCAGTGTTAACTGGTGATTTCCTTGGTGGCTTAGGTTCTTCTCATGGCGCTCCAAAATGCTCCTCCAAGTGTGAATGCTTTCTGATTATAGTTTTCTGTCACAATCTTTCTGTTCTAGGATGCTGTTTCAGTCATTATTTGTACTGAGTCTGGACATTGGGTTAGATTATTGTGGTTGCTCTTCTAATCAAAGTTTTTCATTTGTAATCAGTCCTTCAAGGAAATGGTTGCAATGTGCTTGGTTAAAGATCAAACAAAGAGGCCAACAGCCGAAAAATTACTTAAGCATTCTTTTTTCAAGAATGCACAACCTCCGGAGCTAACTGTTTAAGAGCATTTTAACTGATTTGCCCCCTCTTTGGGATCGTGTAAAGGCACTCCATTTTTGTTTCTATGTATTTTTTTCTTATTTCTGTTTTACATAATGCTTCTGATAGTTTTTTCTTAGGGAATGACTTTGTATTTCCAGCTAAAGGATGAAGCACAGCTAGCTTTGAAGAGAATGTGTGGGGGTATGGCCCCCAGTATCCACGAGACAAGAAATGGGCCGCACCATCAGAGGTGGCACAGCCCACAAGATCAAGGCGTGCACGGCGCTGCTCGACGTGCACCGCAAGCTATTGTATAGTATTAAATAGGATATTTTACTTGTAACCCTACTCCTCCAGAGTATATAAGGAGAGGATCCCCTAGTGGACAGATCGATCTATATACATCTCAATACAATACATCAAAGACACAGGACGTAGGGTATTACGTCGATCAGACGGTCCGAACCTGTCTAAATCGATGTCTCTGCGTCTTGTGTCATCATCCGGTTCCTGATTACGCGCACCTCCACCGACAAATCTACTGTCGTGGGATACCCCTTGGTAGACTGCCGAGCATTTTTTGTTGGTGGACTGTCGAGCATCTTTTGTCGACAGAATGCCTGCTTCAGAACAAGAAGCACTTTTCGTGCTTCGTGAAAGTGTACTTTGCCTATTTTTCTCTACTCAAACTTTATTTTTCTTCCTGAAGCTGGCTAGATGTATCCTTCATATTTGTGAATCTTACGCTTCATTTTATTTGGACCATGTTAACATTAACGATATGGCTTCAAAACAAATTTCATAAAAGATCTACATGAGCAAAATGGTTGCTTTATAAAAAACAGAAATTTAAATTGTGATAGTATTATGTCAATGGCCGAGTATGCTAGTATTTCCTAATTTTATTGGTTGAACAAGGACTAGGGGAGAGTAATTAGGAACCATGCTACAAAATAAGACTCATTTCACAACCCATACGATGTTAGTTTCTTAGGGATAAAATTGATGCTATAAAATGATCGCTCGTAAGCTATATGATGCAACTCTTTGTGGTAAAGTAGATGACTGCTAAAACATGTTTTAGCAGAAGCAATGGTTCATATGAAATATCTTTTTAGCTCGTCAGGAAGTTGCAAACTCTTTTGTTCTGGGGAGACGCTTCTATTCCCTACAATGCGTACCTTTCCAGAGCTGCAGAAATTTGAAACATGTAAGGAAAATGGACCCTTGGCCCATTTACTTTGGATTTTGGTGTTTGATGACCAACACAACCAAATTAGACTAATGAATTTGCAAGTGTTTGTTTTGTAGTCCAATAGGGTGCAAGACGTGACTTGGACGAAGGCGACGTGATGATCCGCTGATCAACATCTCAAGCAAGATCTTAGAAGCACAAGAAAAGACCCAAGATGTCAAGCAAAGTCCAAGCATGAAGATAGGAACCAAGCCGTGCGCAAGATCGCGAAGAAACGAGCTCGCAGAGGCGACCGGACGCTGGACCGGTGGCTCGGCAGACAGGCGACCGGACGCAAGGACCGGACGCTGGCGGCAACCGACCGGACGCAGGAACGCAGCGTCCGATCGAGTCTGAAGAGGTTCCAGCGCTTGAAATCGCGCGATCGACGCGTCCGGTGGTGAAGCGACCGGACGCCGGCAGCGTCCGATCGGTGGTTCAGCGGCTAACGGGACGGGGGACGACGGACGCGTCGGTCGGGGACGATTCAGCGTCCGGTCAGTAGCAGATTTGCGGGAGTTCGACCCCAATGGCTACTTTCTCAGTGGGGCTTATAAATACAACCCCCAACCGGCCATTTGAGGAGTGTGGAGCTGAGGAAACATATCAAGAGTGTTGATACACCATTTGAGTGATCTCCACATGCATAGTGCTTAGTGTTTTATTAGGTGATTAGCATAAGTGCTTTGCGAAGTGCTTAGGTTGATTAGACCACCGCTTATGCGCTTGCTCTAGGTGTTTGCCTAGTGTTTAAGTGAGGTTTGCATACCTCTTGCCACCCCGTGCTTGTGAGCACAAGTGTTGTACATCGGAGGGGCTTGAAGTCTTGCGAGATCACACCAACCGCGTTTGTGGTGTGGCCGCCACCGTGTACCGGAGGGAACAAGGCCCGCGGCATTTCGGCCGGAAGCTTGATAGTGAAGACGGCGGGGAGCATCCGGGAGAGGCTTGCCGGAAGGCACGTCGGAGACCCACTTGCGCGTGGAGAAGGCCCGAGGCTATCCACGGAGTTACCCGACCGGGAGCTTGGCCCTTGCGAGGGATTCCTCCTTGCGAGGGGCTCCAACGAGGACTATGGGGAAGCTTGCGCGCTTCTCGATACCTCGGTAAAAATACCGGAGTCGTCGACGGGAGTTTGCATATCTCTACCTTGCTCTTTAAGCTTCCGCATTTACATTGATCATATTATTATCATTTGCGGTAGAGATAGCAACACACTAGCAAAACCGTAGTTGCACATCTAGATAGATTATCTTTTACATAGGTTTTGCTAGAGGTAGAAAAAGAGGCCATAGCTTAGAGTTAGATTTTTAAGTTGCCTAATTCACCCCCCCCTCTTAGGCTT